ATGGTGATTCCGCTTCGCAGCAATGTTTTTGTAGTAAGAGAGGAGCGGCGGTCATAAAAATGCGCGGTCTAGGAATACAAGTCTATGGAGCCGAGGCTTCGGTTATGGATTGGGATCCCAATTTAAGTCTCCATAGTCTGACATTTTAATGACATTCATTCCCGATCGCTTGACGCTGTCTGCTCTTCATGTACACGATATTCTCATTTCGTAATTATTCTTCCAAAGTTCGTCATGCTTAATGAGGTTTATGGTAGCTAGCGTGTTGCATTATCTATTTTGAGAAGTGTATCCTGGGAGCTGTTCAGATATAGAGATAATTGAAAAGTCTTGCAGGCAGCATATTAACGAAACAATTTCTACGGATAGCAGTAATCTGTCAAAGCTATTAAAGTAAACATACTTCCTACTCACATGCATGCCCGCATATGCGCACCATAAACAAGCACGTCCGTACGCACACATATACGTACGAACACACGCAAGCACGAATGCACTCACGGGTGCACGGATTCACACACCAACACACATACACACACAAACACACACCTACATACGTACACATACACGCACAAACACACGCACGCACGCTCCTACGCATACACGACCAAGAGGACGCCAAACTGGTCAATATAATATAAATCAATCACCCAGTGCTAAAGACATTCAAGTTTTAATAACAATTTCAACCAAAATTGAGTTAAAAGGCAAACACTGTACGACTTCATAAAAAGCAACCTTATTGTTTATTTATTGTGCAGAATAACATGACTATTTAAATCTCGCATTGCCATAGAAAGTGTCAAATTAAGAAAAGAAACCCATTCAAAGTGCAGTGGTTTTTGGTGGGGGGTTTTTTCTTTTCTTTTTTTGGGGTTTTTTTTTTTTGAGAGACAGAATCTGTGGAGACAGTCACTATTAGTTGAAACTCATTGTTGAACTGGAACTGGAAGTCCAAAGAATCGACTCATGAACATATTAAAAATGTCCGGCGGTGCATTCGAGGTTGCCTGAAAACAAATGTCAACACTTGGAGCATAATTATAATTTAAACTACAACAACTTTCCCTGAGTTTGTTTTGCGATATTAGTTTCAAATAAATTTGTTCTTTAATTCACGAACTCACATTATAGTTGATGTTATAGAGGTATGAGTTTCCCTCAATTTGAGCTGAAATAAAGTAGAAATTTTGCAGAACTTGATATTTGTCGAACACATAAGTTGTTGTTTTAAAAAATATTAGCAAATATAACGTCCCCGTGGTTGGATTTTATTTAATCGAAATTTTGTTGAATTTGGTGTAAAGGCGACCGAGTTATTGCCCTTTAGATGAGTCCTATCCCCCTCCCCTCTGTCTCTCTCTCTCTCTCTCTCTCTCTCTCTCTCTCTCTCTCTCTCTCTCTCTCTCTCTCTCTCTGTCTTTCTCTCTCTCTCTTTCTTTCTCTCTCTCTCTCTTTGTCTTTCTCTCTCTGTCTCTCTCTCTTTCTCTGAGAAACACACACACACACACACACACACACACACACACACACACACACACACACACACACACACACACACACACACACACACACACACACACACACTCTCTCTCTCTCTCTCTCTCTCTCTCTCTCTCTTTCTCACTCTCTCTCTCTTTGTCTGTCAGTCTGTCTCTGTCTCTGTCTCTGTCTCTGTCTCTGTCTCTCTCTCTCTCTCTCTCTCTCTGTCTCTCTCTCTATCTATCTATCTCTATCTCTCTCCCTCACTCTCTTTCTCTTTCTCTTTCTCAGTCTATCTAATTTATATTGATGCCGTTATTTATATATTATCAATATTGCTCTATTGCAACTATCTTTCAATTATTATAAACAGAATCACGATTGTTATCATTTTGGTTGTTGTGGTTGTTGTTGTTGTTGTTGTTGTTTCTGTTGCTATTGCTGCAACTATTATAAATGGGTTGCGTCGTAGATGAAAAGCAGGGGTATTGGTTAAATTACTTCCAACAACAAAAAAGTTGCAACCTGTCCATTTCATCAGCATGGGAACTAGCATAAGGGAGGTATTTGTCTCAAAGTCAGTGTAAAGAATATGCCCCACTAGAGATGTGATTCTGGTATGTTCCAGAAGTAAACACACCCAATGAAAACAACATGTGCGTAGTGTGCATACAAAAAAAATAAATAATATAAATAGCTCAAAAGAGGTGCATGAATTCTGTAATGTACATAAAGTATTTAACAGAAGTGAGTACTTGAAAAGACCGTCCGTGTATTTTCAACATTAAATATTGCCTCGGCAATTCAGAATTGTAAAATGTGTTTGTCCAAATCACCCCCTTCGCCAATGTACGCAAACAGCTCTAATGTAGAATACAAAGACCACAATGGGTACACATTTTAGTTTTCAGAGTGGGGAATTGATTCCCCCGCCCCTGTGATTGCTTTTAGCATATTTATTCCGGTAATGTTGTGACGGCGCGTGGGGTGCTATGGTAAAGGAACGGGAACAGCAGTTGGGGTGAAGAAAGGAGGGGGTATAATATGGAAGGAGGGAAAAAAGAAAATTATAGTGCGTGTCACAGAGCGTAGAACAGAGAGAAAGAGTGATAAAAAGAGGAAGAGTGATTTTAAAAAAGAAGAAGCGTGTTAAAAAAGAGAAAAAGTGATAGAAAAGTATAAGATTCATAAAAAGAGGGAGAGTGGTAAAAAGAGATAAAAGAGTGATAAAACAGAGGAAGAGTGATAAAAAGAGGAAGAGTGGTTAAAAAGAGGAAGGGTGATGAAAAAGGAGAAAGAGTGATAAAAAGAGAAAAGGGGATAAAGGAAAAGTGATGATAAAAAGGGGAAGAGTGATAAAAAGAGACAGAGTTATTTTAATAGAGGAAGAGTGAGCAACAAGAAAAGAGTGATAAAAAAGGAAGAATTACAAACAGAGGAATAGAGATCAGAAAAAAACCCAGCGACAGAGTGAGGGAAATAGAAAAAAGTAACAAACATTGACGTCACTCTAAGTCATAACAGAGACTGAATACTCTCTGGTCATAATGAGCCTCACTGCCCAGTTCACATACCAATTCACCCACAAACACTAAAATTAACTGTGGTAGCCCAATCACAAGAGGGAATGGGGGTGAGTGTGTGCTCTCAGAATCTTGTCCCGAGCAGTAATTTTTATTTGGCTCCATCAGGACAGAAGAATGGTACAGTAAGATGCATGTGTAATTTAAAAAAAAAATTTTTGGTAAATGTTTTACGGTGCTCTCAACTGCATAAGCCAATATGAGCGTTCGACGGAACACATCAAACGTTTACAGTTTGTAGGAAATTTTGAATTTTGCCCTGGTGATGGCCGAAGACTACTCGTATCGATTTTAGACCATCGAGGGATCTGTAACGTTCACAATTTGCACCCGGGACCTGCGAGATTTTTCGCCATTGTTCGAGAAGACTAGGTGTAGATCTTTCCTACCAGAAGATCAGGGGTGTGGCTGAAAAACAGCAGTAAGGAGCCAAGGAGCAGCAAAAGAAAGGCTGCAGAAAGAGTCAGGAGCCCAGAGGAGGGGGGGGGGCAAAGGAGGTGAAGGGGTGGGGGCAGAAAGTGGAGGCGAAAGCAGACGAGAGAACATTGGTAGAGAGCAGGAAAGGAGGTGAAAGGAGACAATTTTCGAGAATACAATTTTCCGGTCGCTACCTGGATTCGAACCCGGGACTTTTGAATGAGAGGCAAATACCTTAACCTGTTGGTCACGAGAGCCCCCTAAAGACCCTTTTCAGCACAGCAAGTTTCTCTAAGAATCCCTATTCGATGAGTAATGAAGTTGGTGGACAGCTCAAGAACGTTTTTTCAAACATTCGAATCACAGCCATCTGGATTATTGCTCGTCGGGTTACCAACTGAGCAAACGGAGAGTCTACGTCTTCTACATCAAAGTACCTCAAGTAACACCCCTGTCCTTCCACAGACACACATGCACCCCCCTTCACAAACACCCCCACCCCCACCCCAGTCCCTTATACTGTGTATCCCTAATTTTAATAGGGAGGGCTATTCGGTTTGTTGACGATCTAATTTCGTATGGGTAACAAGTATAAACTTACGTATAAATAACGTTGTGCTGAAGAGGGCGTTAAAACTGTACAACACCCTAGCATACCTTACATGTTTTTATTATTTTTCTTTGATCACTTTTTTTTCTTATCCAATCAAAAGGAACACAGCTTTCAAAATGAATGTTATAGTAACACTCTAAGTGTATCCTGGAGACAGAAAATAAAGCATGAAGAAGCATTAAGATGAAACGATGAATAAACATCAATACTTCCTCGGGAGAGGTTGCGGTGACGGAGTGGTTAGTGCGCTCGTCTCCGAAGCGGAAAGTTCGGGTTCGAGCTTCGGTTCGGACACGCATTTTTTTCGCCCCCTCCTGCCCTCCCAGCAGTAATGGGTACCTGACTTCGAGTTGGGGAAGTAAAGGCGGCGTGGAAAGGAACTGGTCACCCTACCACAATATGCCGAAGGCCCAGAAAGTTGTCTCACTAACAAAGCAATCCCCAATGTCTGGATCGGATGCGGAAACAACTTTACTTTTTTTTTACTTCCTCAGAGCGCAATGAAACTGAAACTGAACTATTTGAATCACCCGAGAGACATATTATGCTGAAAGCAAAAGTTAAAGGCTAAGCGTGGAAGGACAGGAGAGGACATAGAAGTGTGGCTTGGAACCAAAACAACCCAGGTAGACCGAATAGCCAAGGAAATTGTGTTTTATTGTAGGTCCGAGAAGCAACATCGAAGAACAGGAACAAGAAGAAAAAGAACAAGAAGAAGAACAAAAACTAAAACAAAAAGAACAAGAAGATCTCAGCTGTCTTGCTACTTCAACCAAAGAACAAAATATTTCGCCTCTAGCCCTTGAACCATGTGTAATGTATTGACGTGCTAAAAAGTCTACCAACTATTACATTTTGATGCTTCATTACTCAATAGACCATCAACTCTACTTATCTCATTGCAGATTTTGATAACAATCCTCTTCGTCCTCGTTTCCTGCTGCATCACATTATCTGCGCATGCGTGGCCGACGCGGAACAACGAATGGGAAGGCCAGAGGTGGAGTGACCCCATTTCACAAGTGAGTTTTATGATAATTCACATAGTTCATTAGTGCATGTTTCTTTGTATGGATTACCCCAGTAAACACACTGAGTTGTTCTGCTTGTAGTACTAGACTGAGCTATTCGTAGCAGAGGTGCTATTTGTAGTACAAGTCTGTACAATTTGGGAAACGAGTCTGGCCTTTTGGCAATTAGTAGTAGTATAACAAGTCTATTACCTCGCGCCTGGTCGTCAAGGTGGTAAGATTTAAGGGCGTGTGAGGTCATGAGGGTGTGAGTGCGCACAGACATAATCACTACCATCATCATCATCATCATCATCATCATCATCATCATCAGCAGCAGCAGCAGCAGCAGCAGAAGCAGCAGCAGCAGCAGAAGAAGAAGAAGAAGAAGAAGAAGAAGAAGAAGAAGAAGAAGAAGAAGAAGAAGAAGAAGAAGAAGAAGAAGAAGAAGAAGAAGAAGAAGAAGAAGAAGAAGAAGAAGAAGAAGAAGAGGAGGAGGAGGAGGAGGAGGAGGAGGAGGAGGAGGAGGAGGAGGACGAGGAAGAGGAGGAGGAGGAGGAGGAGGAGGAGGAGGAGGAGGAGGAGAAGGAGGAAGAGGAGGAGGAGGATGAGGAAGAGGAGGAGGAGGACAAGACCTCAGCAATGTTTTTATCTTTACCAAAGAACAAAATATTTTACCCCTAACCTTTGAGTCTTGTGTAAGTAAGTATTGACCGAGGGTTTTATGGAAAACGTGTGTGTTTTCAGGCCAGCTCTGTAATACAGTCGAGCTGCTCTGATGACCTTTTCTTTGTACTGTCTTTTGTGAACTCGGAAAATAGTAACGAGTAGAATGAACATTTATGATAATCTATTTATTTTCACCTGTTCTTGTCAACCTTTGAACTTGCTTCGCTCACTTTGCCACTTCTATTAAATAGGCTAAAATTTTAGCACCTTTCACCTACATGTACGAGCGTTTTTTTCTTAGCGAGGCATCAAATAAGATCTGCCACCAAAAAATTTCGGGTGATCCCCATCGTCCAACAAAATTACCGAATTACCCACGCTTTGGTGTCATAGAAGTAAAATTACTTGATAAATATGAACTACTGCTTTGTTTGATATTATATGTTAGGTCTGCTCTTGAAAGACAACCCGAACAGTTCAGTTGACACCAAGTTGTGCTGTGGAGTGGGTGGCCCAGGTTCGAATACATACGTTAGTTTGTTTTTGTTGGGTTTTTTTTTTGTCTTAGTCCTCCTTTCTAAAAGATGTCCAAATGTCGTCACTGAGTTGAAAAACATTTGCACCATGATGTTTATTATGAGAAAACATTTCTGGGAGTTTTCTCTCTCATAGTTGACAAAGAAAAGAACAGAGCAATATTTGCTGCCACGTGTAAACGATTGTGTGTTTGGTGATGTCAGAAGCTATAGCGCATGGGGCGCAGGAGATGTGAGAATTATTTTGGTATTCTACAGTCACTGCTACTTCTGTTTCTGCTATTATTATATTATTAATACACACTTCTCTGATATTGGGTTGATTGGAGGGTTCCCAAGGCTCTCTGTTTCCCTGCCTATATATAGGACCTATTGGAGAAGGACGTTTAACTTAGAGGTTCCGCATGACTTTACTTTGTTCATTGGGTCGTTAAACCCACGCCATACTCCCCTCCACACAGCAATCACGTGTTCATAATATCCAGGACAACAGACATATCCATTTATCGGCCGCTTTGGTGTAGCCCTTAGGCGCTTCGCCGTCACTCACAGAAGAGTTCGGTTGGATTCTCACATGGACAGACTCTTTATCCAGTATCTTGGTCTTCTCACTGGTACGTTGTATTTCTCCCTGGCAGGCAGAATAGAAGCATTACTCCTTCTAAATGGCCTTAATTGTACCAATTGGGGCGTAAACTGTCTCCAGTTAAATTCATAAAGTGACAACTACTGACTAGATTACATTTTTCTGCTGTGGACACAGAAGACCTAAGTTCGATTCCTAAGAGCAGAAATCTGCTTTATCCCGCATTTCCGTCTTTCTGCTGGCTTTTGGCAATCTCCCTTAGCCCAGGTTGGCCTTTATAAGAGGGGTCGACGTGTGTGATGCACTCGGTTGTATTTCCGGTTCACCTTGGAGCTCACTGTTTGACTCATTTTGAGCCAAATGAAGGGCAAGAAGCAAAAGAACGATGGCCATGACACTGAATGGTCTAGAAATAAAAATCTACGATCTTAACCTTGGCAAGACCTGAAATAACATTAGATAATCCCATTTCTCTTTATGCACTCATTTCTTTGACAATATTTGGAGAACCAATACCTGTCTAGAAATCATAATATCGGATATTATTCTCAAAATAGATGAAACGAGCAACCTTGCAGTGAGAAGTAGGCGGGTTTCGGATTTTCTTTTGTTTCTGACATTTTGATTTATAAAAAATCAAGCTCGTAGTTCCGAGATGAAACATACAGTTGGGAAACCCTCTTAACGGCAGCCATTCTCTCTGGTCGTAAATCGTAATTATGGTCTATTCCCATCGAGAATATAAAATCTTATCTGCTGCCGGCAGACAAACGATTTCTATACCTTCGTTTTGACTTGCGAAATATCTCGTCTCAATTTCTGCTTTTTCATGTTTTGTTTTTTGGGGGACCATTCATTTATACCCTAAATCGAGTCTGAGTTTATTTTCTTCTGATTTTTTTTTTCCAAAAAGATATTAAAAATATGCTTCTGTACTTGAGATCTTTCGTTCAAGCTGTAGAGGACATGGAACGAGATAAACCGAACATGTGGGGTTGGAGGGGGCATGCGAAAAAACAAAGAGAGGTAAAGAGAGAGAGAGAGAGAGAGAGAGAGAGAGAGAGAGAGAGAGAGAGAGAGAGAGAGAGCTAGCTGAGACAGACAGACAGACAGACAGACAGACAGACAGACAGACAGACAGACAGACAGACAGAGAAACAGACAGACAGACAGACAGACAGACAGACAGACAGACAGACAGACAGACAGACAGACAAAAGAGGCAGACAGAAAGGCACAGTAGAGAATAAGAGAGTGAAAGAGAGAGAGAGAGAGAGAGAGAGAGAGAGAGAGAGAGAGGGAAAGAGAGAGAGAGAGTTGGCTCACTTAAGGGACAGTACGACTTCGTTAAGCGTTGCTGCTGTGTTTATTTCTTATTTATCAAGCCCTTCTTAACCAAGGCTGGGCACATCGTTGCAAACAAGGTCAAACACACCAAAAACAATCTTAGAAAAATATAACAGACCCCGATACACCACTTGGTTTCCCTGAAGCAAACAAAATTAAGCATGACTTTATAATCGATCAAATGCGCTTAAAATTGTATTTAATAAAGAAACAGAGTTTAAAAAGACCCCGCAAAGGAGCATCTTGATGATCCAAAAGGCAGCACACCTGACCCACGTCAAAACATTGCACCTCCTTTGTACATCTTGTGATACATGTCCAAGAATACAGAAACAATAAGTAAGAAATAATGGCTTGTAGCAACCGGCATTTAGAGAAGTTTGTTTATGAAATTATACTCTTTAAGCTTTGAGCAGAATTAGAAGCTAACAACGCCTACGTTCCTTCAGCAACAACAACGACGTTGAGAGCTTATAAACGGTGCCTTGGGGAATCGAAGAGGTGAGTATTGTGTCTGGAACAATCTAATCTTCGTTAATCCTCGGATTCCGATGTTTACGGGAAGCAATTTTTTCAAATATTTTAGACAATGAGAGGCAGGGAAAGAAAGAAATACAGAGACAGAGAAAATGAAAGCGAAAGCAAGAGAGACAGTGGTACAAGGAGCGATGGAGAGGTAAAGGGGGAGAAAGACAGACCGACAGACAGATACAGATAAAGATGAGAAAGAATGAAGAGAGAGACGGGGGAGGAGGGCGATGCAAAGTGCTAGACCAAAACAGCTAGAAAGACAGAGAGGGTAATGGGGAGGGGTGGATGAGGAACGAAATATATGATGGGAGGTTAAGTGACATATAGAGAGAGGCGGGGAGAGAAAGAAAGAAAGAGAGAGAGAGAGAGAGAGACAGACAGACAGACAGACAGACAGACAGACAGACAGACAGACAGACAGACAGACAGACAGACAGAAAAAGAGAGAGAGAGAGAACGAACGAACGAGAGCAAGAGAGAGAGAGAGAGAGAGAGAGAGAGAGAGAGAGAGAGAGAGAGAGAGAGAGAGAAAAGGGGGGAGAAACGGAGCCCGGGAGTATGGGAGTAAGAGAGGAGTGGGGATGGCGGAAACACAGAGGAAGTGAGTCAGTGAATAATAGCGGGGAAAGGGGGACAGAGGGGCGTGGAGATACAGGGGAATATGCAGTGAAGAAGAGACAAAGATAAAGATATACAGAGAGACAGAGAGGGGGGAGGGGAGAAAGAAACAGAGGAATAGAGACCGCTCTATGGCACTTTAACGATGACGCTGAGAGAGCAAATACAAAGCCGCTTGGTGATAAATCTGGATCAGGCTTTCTAGGAATCGTGTAGTTTTGTTTTAAGAATGTTTTCTTCAACTCTATTTACGTGTATGCTCTTGATCCCTGCGGGATGTGGTTGAGATGGTGGAAAGGGGGACGGGATTTTGTATTTGTTTTCATCCCAAAGTTCGTGCCAAAAAGAGAGAACACGTTTTATCAGCGGAAAAAAAAAATGCAGCTAAGTTGAAAAACACACAGAAGATTTCATCAGTGTGTGAGATGACGCGGGCTGTCTGGGGACTGTGATCCTGGTCTTTGAACTTACAGGGAACGGATTACTTATACCGCTATTTCATGTATGTTGTTTATTAATAGAATTGCCAGTGTATAAGTGTATAGCTTTAACCTATCAAAATTCCATAGACGGATTTAAGAACAAGCTTCTTTCGCCCACGCCGAGAACATTTTTAGATGGGTAAATTGCAAAAATGTTGGGCATCAGCTGTTGGATGTCTGAAAGGAATACAAAACGTAAATAAATGTGTCTAATTGTACAATATGGGGCAGAACATGCGTCTC